GAACATCGAGTGGAGGATTGCTAACTTCATAAATTTGAACTCCTTTTATCCAAAACATAGTTATCGTCTGTCAAGGATCAACACATTAGTGGACTCAACAATCAATCAATCAATGATGAGCTTTTTATATTCCAGTTATCACCCAATAGAGAGGCACATTACTGTCACTGGGAAAATAGTTTTTATAATGAGCAAGGGTGTAGTTTGTTACAATATAATGTAATTGTGTTTAAAAATTCTAGGGCTACTATGATTGACATAATTCTTCAAAGCAAAAAAAGAAAAAAAAATTGTAGTGCGTGTGGATGATGTATTTGTTAAAAACAAAATGATTGAATAACTCATAAAAGTTCTAAGAGAAACATTTGAAACCCTTAGAAAATTCATCGTGAGGTTAAATCCACTCAAATGCACTTTCGGAGCATCAACATACAAATTCCCTGGCTACTTCTTAACCTCGCTAGAAATAAGTCAACCCAAAGAAAGTATAGGCGTCACTTGATATGTTGTCCCCTTATAATACCAAAGAGTATTTTAGTTTGTCAGTCAGATCATGGGTCGTAGTTAGTTCATTTCCAAAATTGACAACAAAACTGTAACATTTTTCAAAACTCTAAGGAAAGAGAAGAAATTTGTTTGGTCGGAATAATATTAGCAAGCATTCAAAAAAAATTGAAGAAATCTTTAGCAACTTCACCGCTTCTCTAGATCCTCAAACCGAAGGAAAAGCTTCCTTTGTATTTGAGGTTTGGACCCAAAGCCATCAGTTCGATCACAGTCCAGAAGCAGGAGCAGGGGGCTCAAATTTTTTACTTTAATAAATTTAATGTCTATCACACTTCACTATTTATATTTTTATTGATTAAGAGGTTTAATAGAGAAGTTCAGAGATAACAAGGAGGATATACATTTCAATTTTATTGATTTAGAAAAAGTTTATGATAAGGTTCTAAAAGATATCCTTTAGAGGTTCTTGGGAAGAAAGGTGTTGATATGACTTATATTCAAGTCATTAAAGTTATATATACTAGAGTTGTTACTTGTGTTCGAAGTGAAGGAGGATTGACCAATTATTTTCCTATTTTTGTTGGATTACATCAGGGATCGGCTTTAAGAAATCTAAATAAGGAAAGAGAAGAAATTTGTTTGGTCGGAATAATGTTAGCAAGCATTCAAAAAAAATTGAAGAAATCTTTAGCAACTTCACCGCTTCTCTAGATCCTCAAACCGAAGGAAAAGCTTCCTTTGTATTTGAGGTTTGGACCCAAAGCCATCAGTTCGATCACAGTCCAGAAGCAGGAGCAGGGGGCTCAAATTTTTTACTTTAATAAATTTAATGTCTATCACACTTCACTATTTATATTTTTATTGATTAAGAGGTTTAATAGAGAAGTTCAGAGATAACAAGGAGGATATACATTTCAATTTTATTGATTTAGAAAAAGTTTATGATAAGGTTCTAAAAGATATCCTTTAGAGGTTCTTGGGAAGAAAGGTGTTGATATGACTTATATTCAAGTCATTAAAGTTATATATACTAGAGTTGTTACTTGTGTTCGAAGTGAAGGAGGATTGACCAATTATTTTCCTATTTTTGTTGGATTACATCAGGGATCGGCTTTAAGAAATCTAAATAAGGAAAGAGAAGAAATTTGTTTGGTCGGAATAATGTTAGCAAGCATTCAAAAAAAATTGAAGAAATCTTTAGCAACTTCACCGCTTCTCTAGATCCTCAAACCGAAGGAAAAGCTTCCTTTGTATTTGAGGTTTGGACCCAAAGCCATCAGTTCGATCACAGTCCAGGAGCAGGGGCAGGGGGCTCAAATTTTTTACTTTAAAAAATTTAATGTCTATCACACTTCACTATTTAGATTTTTATTGAATAAGAGGTTTAATAGAGAAGTTCAGAGATAACAAGGAGGATATACATTTCAATTTTATTGATTTAGAAAAAGTTTATGATAAGGTTCTAAAAGATATCCTTTAGAGGTTCTTGGGAAGAAAGGTGTTGATATGACTTATATTCAAGTCATTAAAGTTATATATACTAGAGTTGTTACTTGTGTTCGAAGTGAAGGAGGATTGACCAATTATTTTCCTATTTTTGTTGGATTACATCAGGGATCGGCTTTAAGCCCATATCTTTTTGATTTAGTTATGGATGGTCTTACTGGGCATTTACAAGAGGATGTACCTTAGTATATGTTTTTTTGTTGATGATATCCTTCTTGTGAATAAGACGAGAGAAAAAGCTCAGAAAAACTTGATTTATTGAGGTCTACATTGGAGTCTAAAGGCCTCCATTTGAGTAGAACTAAAATTAAATAACTAAAATGAGTAGAACTAAAATTAAATACATGGAATGTAATTTTAGTGTATTTAATTTTAGTAGTAGTAGCTCTAGTGATAAAAGTGTAACTTTGGATCATCAAATTATTAAAATGAGTGAACGATTTAAGTATCTCGGGACTGTTGTTCAAAGCAATGGTGATCTAGATAGGGATGTTAATAGTAGAATTCAAGTTGGTTGGTTGATGTAGAGGAATGCTGCGGGCCTTTTGTGTGATAGAAAAGTTCCGCTTAGACTGAAAGGAAAATTTTATAAGACGGGGGTGAAACCTGCAATGTTTCATGACGTTGAATGTTGACCTCTAAAAGAGAAGCATAATACTAAGTTAAGTGTTGTCGTGTTGAGAATTATTAGGAGGAAATTATTAGGTGGATGAGTGGCTTTACACTCAGAAACAAAATGCGAAATGAATATCTCTGTGGTATGGTTGGTGTAACTCTAGTGACGGAGAAAATTAGATAGAGTCGTCTTAGATGGTTTAGTCACATTAAACGTCGACCATCTAATAATTCGATTAGGAGAGTAGATGTTTTAGATTCAACTTATGTTAAGAAAGACAGAGGTAGACCTAGGAAAACTTGGGCTTATTATATAAAAAATGATCTTGATTTATTAGAACTAAATGAAAATATGACACTAAATAGGATGCAGTGCAGAAAAAAGATTCATATAGCCGACCCCACGTAGTGGGATTAAGGCTTTGTTGTTGTACACTTCACTATTTAGATAGTGAAATGTATATTTTAGCCCCTTTCTTGAAATTGCTCAATAAACTCTATAGAATTTAAAACAAAAACAAAAATTTTGCTATGTCAATGCCATATGTAATCAAACAAAAAAGTTGTTTATAGGTAAAAAACAACCAAAAATAAATAATTATAAGTTTAATAGCAACAAAAGGAATTCAACGTGAGAGATTGAGCGAAGTGTTAGAGCGACGCCAGGGAGAGCGAGTCCTAAGCAGGTATGCTTGAGATACGAACAAGACCAAGTGGAGTGTCGGAGCGACCCCCATATCCTAAGGGCAGGAGGCAAAGTAGTATTCTTATCCAATCTAAAATGAACCTACTTAATTACTTTTTTAAAAAATGACCATTTTACTTTTCTTTTAATTTTTAATCTAAATTGTAATAAAAAAATGAAAAATATATAATCTCGAATTGTTGTATAATCATATATTTTCAATATTATAATCATTTCATTATATATTATAACATAAAAATTTAATATTTTTTAACCAAATACATTTGATTTATAAATTTACTTAAATGCCTAAGCTACCAAAAAAAAAGGGAAAAATATAGCTATTGGTTTTCTTTTTTTTATATTATTTAGAATGTTTTACTTAAATACCCTTCAATTCTTATGTATCTACATATTTAACACCTAAACTAATTTTAGGGGAATTTACATAAATAGCATCCTATTAGCATCTTTTCCTATGTATGAAAAGGTTAAACAAGTGTAATCTATCTTTTCATACATCAGTTAGCCTGCTTAGGGTGTAAAAATAAAAGTTTGAGGGTGAGATAAGTAAATATGTAGAAATTGAGGGGCAAATGACCGAATAACCCCCTTTATTAGCTAAATCCCAAAATTCAGAGGAACAACTGCCCCCTCTCAACTATTTGTGGATCTGCCCATGCCCAAAAGAAGTAGGAAAATAGTTTCTGATTTACTATGTCAATCGAGTCCTCAGAGGCTTCAACTATGCTTCCGGACACATTCAATCGGAGTCATCAACGATCATCCGCTCAGGTTCATCCTTACTCAACTAGAGCATTCAAGTCGATTTCTTAAGTGGGTGATGGTACTCAACAAATTTGATATTTCCTAAGTCCCCCGGGACACAATCAAAGCACAGGTGATAGCCGACTTCTTTGCGGATTTTTCCATGTCGACAGAACCAAGCAAGGAACACCAGCTCACAACCATAACTCGATGTTGTCTGTCGACGACGCTCAGGAATGTGTCAGCTCTAATCCCAAGGATATCCAGCAGGTCCGAAGAAAGAAAATACAACGAATGATCACCTACTGACAGAGGATCAAGAGACCCATTTATTTGACCAAATGCAACCCCTTGACTGAGGCTGTAAGCTGACTGGGTGTAAAACACCCAAACTAAAGACTAAAGCTAATCGAGCCGAGCACAGACATCAAACTACTTATCGTCACAATTTGACTCACTAATCGTCTCATAGACACATCGGAGGTTCCTCATCAAAAGCCAAAAATTGGCAATAACATAGCCCACAAACATCTCGACAGATCCTCCTATCAAGAAATGAGCTATCAATAGTGTTACAAACATATCAAAATTCAACAATGCCAACGTCTAATAACTCGATGCGATGCGATCTTCGTGTCAATCAAGATTGTTGGTCAAGCAATCTTTTCAGCGGCATTTACATACTTATCACTCCATTCCTATGTATTTTCATATATAATATTTAAAAAGTATGCATGTAAAAAAAAAATTCCTCTTTTTCTAATTCAATTATTATTATTATTTTGACCTATTTAATTTCGAATCTTATCCAATCTAAAATGAACCAACCATGAGCCTCCACATCAGCACACAGTATCCAATTGCTTCAATCTCAGCCACAAGTTCTTCTCCCCCATCATCTTCCAATCCCCACCTCTCTTAAAAACCTCCTCTCTATCCCTCAGCTCTATTCAATCCCCAGCAGCCATGGCTTCTAAGCTCACTTATCCCACTACAGTCTTATCCTCTCTTCCCCGATTCGCCGGCCTCAGAGCTCAACAGCCAGTAACGGTGAGTCAATTAAACCTCGCGCGCCGTCTCTGAATCTCGTCTTTTTTGAATGTAAATCTCCTTTTCAGGTGACGTTGCCGGCAGGGACGAGGCGGCGAGGAGGGAACGGAGCTCTCTCCGCTCGTTGCGGCTTCATCGGCTCGCCCACAAACATAGTGAGTAAACTTCCAACATGAGATATATACATGTAGAATGGAAATAAAGTCTTGTCCGGCAATAGATGAGATTTCACGGAGTCCGAATTTACAACATTCCGAGATTCCACTTAAATCCTGCGGCAATTGCTAGTTAAATCAGTTGTCAGATAAGCCCCCAAGTAATTTGAGCTCACTGTTTTGGTTGTTGCAGATAATGGTGACAAGCACGACTTTGATGTTGTTCGCCGGCCGGTTCGGTCTGGCGCCGTCGGCGAACCGAGTGGCGACGGCGGGGCTGAAGCTGGAGGCGAGAGATTCAGGGCTCCAGACCGGAGATCCGGCGGGGTTCACTTTAGCTGATACGTTGGCTTGCGGATCAGTGGGTCACATTATAGGAGTAGGAGTTGTGTTGGGATTGAAGAGTTTGGGTGCTTTGTGAAGAGCAACTGAATGTTATGGGTTTCAGTGCGTGTAAATGTATTGCATGAGGTATATTAATGGTGGTTTTTCTTCTTTGTTGTTACCACAAAAGATGGCATTTAAGCTATTATGATTTGCTAAATCTCATATATCCAAATTTTCTAACTTCTTAATGGTTTCAATCTGAAAAACTGTTTGGTAACAGATTTACTGAATTCTCTAAGTGTAGCATAATTGTTTGGCAAGTGAGTAGACAAACTGAATAGCTCTTCCTCCAAATCTGGTAAATCCCATAAATCCACTACTCAAATTGGACAAGATGCAAGTGGAATGATGCTTGTTATGATTCTATGATCAAATTGGGCAACTGAGTGGCTCTCCCAGTTGTCCAATTCAAGGGCGACTGGATGAATAATCATGAGATCTTAATCAGTGTCATCCATCTATTCCTTAGATAAGTTGGCAAATATCAATCCAAATGGAATAAATGTAAATAAGTGTTTTTTTTTTTTTATATAAAAAAGGGTTATTAGGTATCACCAAATATACCATTTATTTTAAGAATAATATTTTCACAAGAAACTTCTATCCCTCGAATCTCGAACTTAAAAATTACAACAATATTTGGATTCAAGCGTTGACTTGGTTACTTAAATTCACGAAGCATATTCTTGCAGCATAAATTCCTAATATTCTGACGACATTTATCATAAATCATCAAACCGTAATTTTTCGTTCCTTCTCATTTCACAAAATTCCATACCTTGGTAGTGTATATATATATATATATATATATGCCCGTAATTTTCCGTCCTTCTCATTTCACAAAATTCCATACCTTAGTAATGTGTTGTGTTTATATGTATATATATATGTGTGTGTGTGTGTGTGTGTGTGTACACGTATAGATATATCTATATCTAGATATACACAAACATATATACATACATGTATGTGTGTGTGTATTGTAAATCTAAACACAATCTACATGAATCTCGACATAATTTAAATTTCCAGATAAAAATCGAGGACTATAAAAAGCACCATAAAGACCTATAACTCTCTTGTTCAAATCGGGGACTATAAAAAGACACCATAAATACTTATAACTCTCATATAAAGCGAAGCATTAATAAAAAGATAAAAATAATATGTAACTCTCCCATAAAGTAAGGGTAGACATGTAATTTTAGACCTGGTTCCTCTTTCTCCTATAAATATGAAGCCCATAACATGCAAAAATGAGTTCTTATCTCTTGACTTTTCTCATTTAAGAAAAACTCTCTCACCTTCTCAATGTAATCGCTATTTTTATATATGCCCGAGATACCTCAATTCTCTCCAATGGAACAATTATATGCTTGTTATTTATTTTCCTATTATATGCTTGTTATTTATTTTCCTTTCTCTGTCTCTTTCTCTCCCCTCAAAGTCTCTATCACTCTGATCTGTGGGCATGTCTCACAGGACAAATTTAAATTTAATATTCTAAAAAGTGTTGTGAGCATGGAGCATGCTACTGACAAGAAGAGAAGCAACACAAACTAGGAGATATACGTCTCATAGACATTCCAAATAGAGAGTGTGTTAAGAAGTTCGTGTAATAATAGATTTGGAGCCAGAAAACATCCTTTTTTGTCGTCTTCTTATAGGCTTCGGCTAGGAGGTGTGTACCGCAAAATGGATGGCTGGCTCCCAACGTTTTGAATAAGTCGGCCGAGCATACTAACACACCACTCGGTAAATTATGGGCAGTTGACACCTCAATTAGTAGATAAAAGGAGCGTTACTTCACAATATATCTTGTGTTATAACACAAATTTCTCTAATGCTATTCAAGTTCTACTGCACTCGGGGAACTCAGTTCCGAGTGAGCAAGCAAGACATTAACAACAAAAGACTCGTCTATGAGGTGAGCAAATAGAAGAATCATCGAACATAAAAAAAAAAAAAATTTACCTCCGGGACGAGTAAAAAAAATCCACTATATGGTAAGCAAATAAAAAACCCCTCCAGAGAGAGTAAAAAAATTCATTTCTGAGGCGAGCAAACAAAAGACTCCTTTTTAGGGAGAGTAAACAAAAATTTCTCATTCTAGGTGAGTAAAAAAATGCTCTGATGAGAGCAAATAAAAGACTCTTATTCGGGACGAGCAAACAAACATCTCCCCTCCAAGGGCATGCAAACAAAAAATTCTGAGATGAGCAAGCAACCAACAATCATAGTTAACAAATGGAATGGGTGAGGATTAAAACTTGAGCTAGATGATACCACGACCAGCGATTTCTTAAGGAGCCGAGTTGTCAATCAACACAAGCAACCAGATCAATGCAAGCAAATACTTCAACACAACACCGACCAAATAATCTATTCAGAGAAAAATGCATTATAAAGGTCTGTACCTCTCCCATTAAAGCAGGGCGTTAATAAAAAATAGTAATAACATGTAACACCTCAATTAAAGTAGAGACTAACATGCAATTTTAAATTTTGTCAATCTTTCTCCTATAAATAGGGAGCTCATAACATGTAAAAAATGGGATATTCTCTCTTGAATCTTCTCATAGAGAAACTACTCTCTCATCTTCTCAATGTAATCACTATTTTTGACTTATAAAATGGGTCAAAGAGCCCGAGGAAATCCCAATACGCTTTTACGGGGCAAGTATATGCGTGTTGTTTTTTTTTCCTTCTATTTCTCTTTCTTTTTTTCCCTCAAGATTTTTACCATTCTGATTCTTAATATATATTAAAAATGTGTCAGCATGAATCACAAAGATATCTCGCATTAGGCAAAGAGATGACGTGCCATCGCGGACCACCCCCTCAAAAAAGAAAATCCAAGATCATAAGCCTAGTTGGTCGGCTCGCATACCAGGAGAGTAATACTCCTTGGATGAATAAGAGTAAATCAACTTCAAAAGAATCTGCTGACCAGACTCATGCAGACGAATCCAACATCCTCCATCCTAGAAAGACCAAATGGGCAAGACAAATCGTCCAGTTCCAAAACAAGCAAGCAGACGCTTAGCCTAATGGATGCCCAACTTAATAGCCGCCCAGCTCAATGACAACCCAAGTTAGTGGTCGCTCGGCTTGGCAGCCGCTCGACCTAATGATCGCCCCTGACTTAATGATCGCCGAGCCCCTGCCTGCTGAATGTCTGTAGGCCCCCCATGTCATACTTATGTGTAAACTAAAATACCCATGTCGCACCTACATACACTAGGGGAACAATATGTAGTTGGACAACCCCTCATTCCTATAAATAGGGAGTCCATTTTGTAAATAAGGACGCAAATTTATTGTTCAATATTGGGCTATTTGTCTCCTTGCTCTCTCTCTCTCTCTCCTCTCTCTCTGTCTCTCTCTCTCCCACTTCCTCTCCCTTCATCGCTCTATTCCTTAGGCTTGTCTCTCAGATAATTTTGGATTCAAAATCCTAAAAAGTGTAGTGAGCATGGAGTCATGTTGTCGATACGAAGAGGTGCACAATGATCACAGAGAGCAAAGGTGTGCAAAGAGAAGTAGCTAATATTAACCTCCCATGAGATGACATTGAGGAACGAATGCAATGAGGGATGCAAAAGTTGAGGATTCAGATCTTGGATCAGGCATCGAGCTAGAACACTAATATCTAGAGGGTTGTCGCAACCCTAACTATGAATCAAGCCCCTCCAAATACATAACCAACCATAGGAGGTGGTGCCAGCGCACAATAGTAGAAGAGTGAACAATGGTTTCAAGAGGGTTGATGACTCACGGTACTAAAATAGTGTGGGATTATCGCAGATAGAAAGGCATCAAGGTTGGCGCACCAAAGCACCACATCAATTAGATGACCCTTTTTCCCTCCATATCTCATGAGCCCCGAAGAAGTTCAAGCTTCCAACACTGGATGCTTATAGAGGGCAGTCAGATCCAAATGATCACATTATTGCATTTGAATTGGCGACATGTCTGTTAAAGGTTTCTAACACCTTCAAATGTTGACTATTCTTTAAAATTGAGGTCGTCGGCCTTGAAGTGGTTCCTATCGCTCCCAGTCAGAAGAATCAACAACTTTTTAGAGTTTCAAAGACTTTTTTCTGGCATAGATTGTAAGCTCAGACACAAAGAAGAGTGTGCAAACCTTATGATATATGAAGCAAGCACTGAATGAGAGCCTACGCTCTTACATCGTCCATGTCTCTAGAGAAATGCTGGAGGTAAAGGACCTCTGAGCTAACATGACACTGGTCAGCCAGGTTCAAGGCCTGAGGTTTGAAAAGTTTTGTTACGACCTTAGCTTACAACACCCTCAGAATATGAAAAAGTTCCCAAGTCATAACCAATGGAGTATCAAGCCACAAAAAGGTCACCCCCAAGAAGCGGGTCAAGGTGAGGGGAGGACCACCAATCGCCCGTCAGGCACTGGTATGAAGATTGCTAATCCTCTTACAATAAAAAAGGATCAGGTCAGAACAATCAACCTGGATATCGGATGAGGACCATGATTCATGATTTGCTCGGTACTATGAGAGGCTGACCTAACGCTGTGAACAACTGTAAGGCGAGATTAAAGGCCAACAGTTCACTCCCTAATAGTATCAATGGTAGAGATTATAGATTATATTCAGCACAAAGAAAACTTCAAGGAGGTCATGCCCATGAGAGTCAGATCCTTCCTCCGAGATATGAGGAACTTTTACAATTATCACCGGGATCACAATCATGACACAGAGGAGTGCAGAACCCTCCAAAGCCTCATCAAGGAACCGATAAAGGCAGGGAAACTAAAGAAGCTTATGAGATAGGGGCACCAGCGCAAAAGACATGGGAAAGATCCAGCTGTTGAGGCCCTGCTAGGACCTGTCTGAACGAATGTTGTCCATGTCGCTGGGATAATTTTGACTATTCTCAGAGGAACGGATGCCCCCCGGTGGAGCTCCCAAAATAGAACTAAGATGAGTGAGTTATGTAAGCTCATATCCATGCAGAGGAGAGGAAGTTGTCCACCCAC